AAAGAGCTGCAGCCCGGACACCAGTGCACTTCCCAACAGGCAAAGCCCCTTCGTTGATCAAATATACCCTTGTTTGAATCTAAATGAATCACTGTCTGCTGGCACCTGCAGGCTCTGTTGGCTAGACCCCTGTATTAGAGCTGAAGGCAGCTGCAGTTATCTGCTTAGATTTGCAGCTACATTCAAACCGTAAAAGGTTGTGGAGGATGGGAAACCCTGTGCTGTATAGCTACATTGTGGATGATGCTGCTAAAGATTCTGTCCTTGCAACTTAAACTGAAATGAATGCAAACTCAGCTGGACCTGAGAGCTCAGAAACACGTGATGGAATTTAAAAGGTTATAGGCTTCTGAAATACTTTATTTCTGAAATTCTGATATCCACAAGATTTTGGAACTTTAAATGTGGGAGTTTCAGCCTTCTTGCAGGGATTCATTAACATTTCTAATTAGGGATTTAAGGCAAAATGTTCTGCAGTCTTAGATAAAGGATCTTGCAGCATATCCGGTACAGAATTATTAATAAGTTCAGACAAAGCATGCCTTTACTTTGCTGAAAAATATGCTTTGAAGCAGTAAAGGAGTAGCATACTTTTTACTTTCTCTTCTATTTTTTTAAATTTCCTAGAGGAAATGAAAAGGATTCTGAGAAAAGTAACCAAGGTCTTGCAGGCAGGAATTTTCTTGCGTAATGCCTAGAGCTGATAAATATAACATGCTGAATGAAAGCCGTATGATAGAGCAGATGAAGCTCCTGTTCAAGATGGGCACTTGGGTTCTCACTGTTGTGTAGGAATGACAGCCGCTGTCCTAAAGCCTCGCTTTGCACAGTAACACCTTGAGTATAGCTGAGCCCGTTCTGCGGGGAGGTTAGCTGGCCAGGGGCAGTAACTCAGAACAGCAGAGACTGTAAACTAATCAAAAGCATACTGACTTGTATGCTACGTAGAAGAAAAAAAAAATGGAGTTTTACATACTCATGCTTTGTAAAAGAAATTAATCCAAGGAGGTATCAAAGGTGTTCCTATTTGCTGTTTTAAAGTGTAATTGGATACAATTTCTAAGGCATTATGCAGCCACCAGGAGCCCAGCATGCCTTCTGAAGCACACTTTGATAATACCTTGCCAGTGAAATGCATTCAGTCACCTCTGTCACTTTTTCTGTGCTGCTGATGCTGTGTGAGGGTTTGCTTGTAGAGATTTATGGGGAGATTTAAACAGAGAGCCTGACGTAGTCAGCAAAGTAAATGTTGTTCATTTTTGATGGAGAATATTGATTTACAGCCTTCATGCTGAAGAAATTCCTTCCAAATTTAATGTTTCATATTATCAGAACTTTGCTTGTAGCCTCTGTCTAAAACGGTTTGTTAGCTGTTTTCAGTCAAAATTATATGCAAGCGGATAATAATAAGACTACTAGATTATACTCTTTTCTTGTAGAGAAATCTCAGAGGTCAGAATATACAGCATATTGCAAGTTTACATGCATTATACATGTAAAAATACAAAGAATTTTTGTGTGTGACAGAGACAATACTTCCTAGTACTAATCCAGGCTATAAAACAACACTGAGCTACTTGAAGGATTGCCAGAGATTTGTTTCAGGTTTTTGCAAGTAGCCAGAGCAATACATGCTTGTCTTTCTTACCTTTTGGGATTTAGAAATGAGGAGGAAGCGAAGAGAAAAGAGAGACTGCACTGATGGATCCCCTGGTTGTTCATGTCAGTGACAGGACTTTCATTCTGTGTACTGATAATTGGACTGGGTCTTTGGACATCCCTTGTTTTCTAAAAAGCACTGGGCTTTGTAATTTTTAAATTGGAAAGGCTTTAATTGAAGACAATGGATAATTGAATAATAGTATCTTCTAGTGCCTTCTAAGATACAGCAGGGAACAGTATATAACAGAAAGATATAAAAATAATTGTACCGCTTCTGGAGACTCTCATCATGCCCTGCCAAACACCTTTGCTGTGAAATAAATATGCAGTTTATTGAGTTCTGATCTTCATCTGATGGTCATTATGTAGTACCAGGAACCTGCTCGCTTCAGAATATGTGTTTTCCAGCATCACATGAATACTTTGAGATTCAGAGTTTCATGCAGTCAAGTCATGAAATGAATAGTAAGACACCAAGAGTGAAAAAACAGTTAGAATAAAAACTTCATGTGAACAGTTAGCATTGTCAAGGTCAAGAAGCCTTGATCCTCTTTTGTTTTCTAAAAATGAGAGTAGTTCTTGATGTCTTCCATGCCTGGATATATTCAGCGGTTCTTGAGTCAGTCTGATATTTTTTGTCTGGATCCATCCTCCCTTTTTTATCGTTTTAGTAAAGAATCAATAATTCTGGCTGTTTTTTGTCTCCTGTGAGCAGAAAACTTGTGGACTAAAGATGAACCCTGGTCATCTTACTACACTTACTATGCTGAATTTCAGACAGAACATGTGCTGGGCAGCCAAATGCTTGTCTGAAAGTGACCTGATCTGCATCCATATCAGCATGTGAGAGCAAATCAGGACGGCAACCTGTCCTGAGCATGGGAGGAATGAAGCTAGGGACTTTCCCTAAACTCTTATTGAATTTGTGCATCTTGGTAGCCTTGTGTCTCTCAGCAAACTGACTGTCCTTCCCTTCTCCATCAGTGCAAGGCAGAAAGTGAGGTATATTGAACAAATGTAATAGAGCTGAAGTCTGACAAAAGTGTAAAACGCCGTTTTTTGTCCACAGTGGCTGCCTGTTACTATGGATATGTACAGACAACTGCAAATGGTTGCATTCCTGTGGCTTTAATGAGATATCAGTCATTAACTGATATACGTTAACTGATGATCTACATGCTCCTAGCCCATTGCAAATGCAGAGTGTAGCTGCTTTGAAAATGATCCAAGCACATTTTACTTTCCAACTGCAAAGGGCTGGAAGTATGCACACTTGCAGTTGGCTTGGCTCAGCTGATGAGCTGTAATGCACTCTGCCACGCTAACTCAGTAGCCTGCCATTATCTTAAGGTTTCCTTCATACAGCAGGAACTGTGACTTGATTATGTTTCTACTAAAATTGTAAAGAGAAGACTCCTCACTGAACTGTGTTTCTTTTTTAAATAGCAGTTGAAATGAAGTCATCTAAAATATTCTCATCACGCCATGGGATGGACCGAAGCGTCTCAGCTGGTGCCAATATCTTGTCTTCCCGATCTACTGACTTCAAGAAGGACAAAGTAAATGAACAATTGCATAGGTATGATTTATCCAGAGTAGTATCTAAAAATGCAAGAGGAGTCTGAGGGGACTTACCAGCTAATTCCATGCTGCTGTAAAGACAATCTGTGAAGTCATTTGATGTATGATGTAGTCAGGTCTGAGACAGCTGTGGTGGTGCTTGCCAAACAAAATACCCTTAGCTGTGCCAGAGGCAGCTGTTCAATTTCTAAGCATCTGGTCCAGAATGGGAGAAGTCTCAAGTAAGATATTATTAATGAACTTCACATGTACGCACAATGCAGTCTTCTGCAAATAAAACTTCCTGATTGCTTCCTTAAATGACTCAACTCTAACCCATGAAAAATCATTTATTAGTAAAGAAATAGATAGGACTGTGGGAACAGAGCAGGAATTATCTTGCAGAAGGAAGAAAAATTAGGCATTCAAGTGGATTCAGAGTGTTTAAACATGCTGAGTTGCTAGCCCTGCTGAGCAGAGTCCCTGATTTATCCACTAGGCAGGTATAGCAAGGGAGGCAATATTATGAGTTTTCCCAGCAATGGGTTTCAACTCTTCCTTGAAACAATTTGTGTCTAAAAAAGATGAAAGCTCTTGCTCTCCTTCTCCTTTTCATACCTTGAGCCCTCTGTGAAGCCTTTGTCATACGTAGGACTGTGATGTTATATCTTGGATGAGAACTAGGAATTCATTAGCAATTGGACCAAGGTTTACCAAAGTTTTTCAGGGCCCGCATGTGTCCTTCAGACATTAACAGCTTTTTCCTATAGCTAATTTGATTGGGCCAAGTTTTAAACAGTGAGTGTAGAGAAATTTTAAAAGCAAGTACATTCCAGAAGTAAAACACAGAATGGGTGGAGATGTGCTAAAGGAAAGGTTTAACCAACTCTTTATGGATCTAATTTTTCAGAAGTGCTTAGTTATTTGTGTTAGTTAAAGCTCTAATACTTCTGAAAACTGGGCACTCTGCTTAGAGCTTTGTTTCCTTCTTGCCTACAGATGCATGTGTGTGGTTTGGGGGTTTTCTGGGGGCTTGGTGTGGTTTTGGGTTTGTTGGTTTGGTTGGCTTCCCCCCCACCCCCACCCCGAAGTTGTACTATTTCCATGGTGAGATCTGAGAAATTATATATTGTCAACAAATCATCACTAGTTAGCAGCTGAAGTGCTTAGTAATCGTACCCCTCTCCCAGCATTACTGGTTTTATTTCTGTTGCCAGTCCTAACAATAGCTAAGCATGTACTACAAATACAAATAGACCATGAGAATTTTATGGCCAAATTGCTTGCTTTGTGATGGACAGATAGATTATTTTTCAGGCTTTGACTTGCAAGAAGCAAGCCAAATTGGCAGCATCTTGCTCCCACCTTGGTGAGAGGCTCTGCTTCTCTACAGTCATGATCTATTACTAAAAAGGCGTATCCTCAGTAATCTTTAATTTTTCCTCATAAATGTATGTCTAAATCTCAGTAATAGATGGATCTGTAACTGAAAGCACAGGTGTGGTATCCTGCAGAAGAAGATAATATCTTCTCATTGCGTGCTTTCTTAGCATGCGTACAGTAATTGTATTTACAAATGCAGCCTTGAGTTACGGATATGGGAATGTAGCCATTCACAGTCCAAACGGACACAGGGTTTCCGATGTCAAGGGTCTTCTGTTAATATGTTGGTGTTGCAATAGCAAGACCTGCCTTTTCATTCTTTCATTCTTGGAAGCGTACTTTAATTTGTTTGCAAAACAAACTGAGCAAATAAATCGCTGCTTTGGTCATAGTTTTGACCACTGTAAGAGATGTCTCCTTCCTACTAGGCAAATAGCAAGACATTCCTAGAAGAGGTATGTATGAGAAAAGGAGGACTGAGTTGTGGCGATGAAACTGTCACTGCTATTTCCCCTCTTCCTTAGCAGTATAAATTGGGAATTTAACTACACAGAGATCAGTGAAATTATGCTAAATCAGCCTGAGAGAAGAATGAGACCCTAGCAGTGACACGTCTATTGCAGTTATTTTATTTCCACAGGAACAAATGATTGTTCTAGCTGATGCATGTCAGCCTGGCAGCTGCCCCTGTATTGCTTTTCCCTGCTGTATTTTGATCATATAAGAATATAGATCTGTTGTGCTTTTAATCGGGGATAAATTTGTAACGGACTTGAGTTTACAATTGTGTCTGGCTGAAAAAGCCCTTATTTTTTTATTGTGACTATGTCAATAATAAAGAACTTAAACTCTGCAGGGCCTTCTTAGGTCTCTAATGGTCTTGCTTTTCTGATAATCTGGTAAAAATAGCCAAAAGTCCAAGTGTATTTCTCTTGGAGAAAATGGTCTAACTCATCTTTGTATGTTCAAGTCCTGTCACGTCTCCTGGTTGATTATTCCAATCCCAATGTCAAGTCTGTTGTGCACTTTTTTTATAGACAATTATTTCCATTTTTCCAAGTAAACAGTTTTCTTTCTTCTCAATGCAAATGTAGGTTTCTGTGTGAGTTTGCTGTGGGTTTTGGTTTTTGTTTGGTATTTTGTTTGAGCAGTTGCTCTCAATTTACCACATCTTGTCGTAGATGACTCCTTTATCAAATACTGTGGAACAATTTCCCACAGTAGATTTTGCTGCTTCTTTCTTCATCTCATCAAGTTCTAAAGGATGCCAAATAGCAGTTTTCTGTGTTATTCTGAGGATTAATTCTTTTCTGTTGATCTTGGCCTATTTATTGATGAAGTAAAAGATGAGGTGGTTCTGTGACACTTGGGCTCATGGAGACTGAGATCTGCTCTGCATCCTGTCAGAAAAACAGCAGGTTTTTTCAACTTTACAGTGTTTGCTACCAGCTTATTTCATATAATCCTTTCCTGAAGAGTTTGCAAAGATGTGAGCCATCCTGTCTCACCACTGTGTGTATCTCCCTCTTTGGTAAAGTATAGTGACTCTGGTTGCTTTACTTTGCTTTGTCTCCGAAGCGCTTGGAGTCTTAGCTGCCTAGGTTACTGCGGTGAAACTCGGTGAAGATTGTTGGTGGCTATAAAAACACTTTTTAGTGTATGGGAATACAGATCCAGGATTTTGCTATTGCTGAATAAGGAGGGGGGAAAAGCTCATTTATGGTTCAAAAACTTCTGTGAGGCTGTTGGATCTTCTTTTTTATCTATGCTAGCATCTCATAGTTCACATAAGATTACCATGAAGAGCACTAGTGAATTGAACACCCAGCTCTTGAACCAAAGTGGATAAAATGACAAAAAAAAAAGCAATAACAATGCGACTATTTTATGGGGAGAGATATTTAAATATGTCTGTGGTCCACAGCTTGGGGTTTTATCTAGCCAATCTTACTTTTTTGGTTTTGTTTTGCAAGTATGTTTCCCCTGCCATCTGCCACCTCCTCCTTTGAAGTGAGACAAGTGTAATACTTGTAATACTCGGAGACAGGCAGAGAGCTGCAGAGATGGCTCTTAACAGACCAGTTAGCATGTCTCTGTCCTTAATAGTTAGCACATACATATGCAAAATACCGCCAATTAATGCTATTTAAAATACAAAAGAAACACTTGCTCAAATCTCCCTGCAAGGTGAAGCAGGGGTACGGAATGGCTAATCAGCACTGACTCAGCAGCATTCCCAGAGGAGGAGGGGAGATTAAATGTCCTGAAAATCCTCCTAAATCACCCTTTCTGATGGTCACAAAGGGTTCTTTTGATGGAGGTAATAACACGGGGACTTTCCATTTTAATCGCCTGTCTTTAGATGGCACCTTTTTCGATCTCCTGCCTTTGGCTCTGCTTTTATTTCCTTTTAAAATACGATGAGTTTTTTCAGGTAGCTGTTATTTCAGTTTAACCTTTTCTCCTTTTAAGATAAAATTGACTTACTAGACCAAACATGAATATAGATTCAGAATTAGTTTAGAGACTTGCTATTTCCTGGTAGCCTCCATTTTTGTACCTGGGAAGGAATATATTGATGCTGGGGGCAGGGAAGGACAGTGTATCCTCACAGGGCCATGGACTAAATTTTAAAGAATGGTATTCTTGCAGCATATGCAGACTGTGAAATAGCAGCAGCTGTTTGATGTTCTCAGTGTGAACAAGGAACCTGTGTGTTTAGGGAATTGATTTCTTACATGCCATCACAGCTTTTTGCTCTTTTGACAAAGCCTTCAGAGAGTTCTACAAATCTTATCGCAGCTGGGAGCCAAGGGAGGCCGCCCGTGCCTGCCAAGGTTGTGACCTATACCTGGGAGAAGTAATAGTGTCTGTGCCCTAAACGGATGTATTCCTGTGCTGTAGCGTATCTGTATGGTTTTTTGCACCTCAGATTGAGTCTGCGTGTGCTATAAATACAATGGAAAACAAGCTAAAGATCTATTACTTGTTTGCAGGGGACTTAACTACTGAACCTGTTCAATCCTGTTGTCCAAAGAACCAGGTTTCAGTAGGATAGACAGGTCGATAGAGCCAGGTTTAGAGGCTGTGTGGTGAGTACATGCCCCAGGGCAGTACCTGTGGTGCCATGTTCCTTTCCACTTGCAGCCTCCCTGAATTTTGAGCAGTCTGTCATGCTGTCACAGCACGTACTGCAGGTTTCACTTGGTTGCAGACTTACTATGCATACATATTTCTCCATGCATTGCTAACCCTTTCCATCTCCTCCTACAGGGAGTTTCTCTCAGCCTTCACCAGCAGACCTAAGATTCCTCGCACTCCTGACGTGCAGAGTGTCAGCCCTAGAAGGAAAGAGTTCCCGGTCATTGCCCCCCAGTTCTCTCAATCTGAATCCCAACAAACAAGGCGTCTCAGGTCCTCAAGATCATCCACAAGGAGCAGACAGAGTAAGTGGAAAAAGTCATCATTCTGTTTGTCAGTCCTTGGGGTGGGAAAGGACGGAGCACTGCAGTAGCTCTCCAGGAATGAAGATGTAGACTACAAATGTGCCAGGAGTATATGACACTGTGCTTGTCATCTGCAGGATGTACAACCATGTAATTATATCCTGCTGTATACTGCTCCTATTTCCAGGCTGTCATGTGAGCAGTTAAGAGACATGCTTTTTCCTGTCTCTGGGTGGAGAAAAGTGGCCCAAATTCTCAGAAGTTTGGGGGGAAGCTTCTAGCCTCAGATTAGACTTTCTCTAGATGTCATTAGACTTTCTCCTTTTCTTTAGACATTTGTTCATGCTGCTGTGTAATTTGTGTAATGTTCTTCAGTTTGGATCCCTGTGTACGTCTACACTGCAACTGAATGTAGACCAGATGTCAGTTCAGAAGATGGGCTCAAGGCAGCCTAGCAAGCAGACAGCCAAATATGGTGTGCTGCTTGTGGCAGTCATCATTCTGCTGGAGGCTGATGTTTAAGAACCATACGGATGTGTTGTTGCCTGAAGAAGTTTAAGTAGTACTAGTTTGCAGTGGGCTCAGAAGAGAGGATGGCTGTGACTTCAGGTTGGAGGGAAAAGATGGATGCTTGCTTTAAGCCAGCCAACGCAAGCCCAGTAAAGTGGAAATGTTGATCTCAGATGCTCATGCAACAGTAAACAAGTGTATGGTGTGTAAGCTGTGGGTTTTTTTAAGGGGGAGGGGGAAGAAAGATGCATTCTTCAGTAATGACTAAGCGTTTTCCCTGGAGTGTGGATAGGACTAGCTGGATTCAAATACACCTCTGGGTCCATCATGAATGAAAACAGCAGGAACTGTGTGCTGTATATTCTCATTCTGAATATATTGTAAGAATTTTAGTGATGATTATTTGACTACAGTGTAACATCAGCTCTATTCTTTAGCTGTAACTGTTATCTTTAAACATTTCACAAAAACATGGTAACTAATAATACCTTGCAAGCCTTCCCAAGAAATTTGTGGTACGTGTATATCGTTAGCTCCTCGTTAGAGGTAGGAAAAATGAAACGCAGAGAATTGAAATAACCTAGTAAATCAGCATCAGAGCTGGAAAGAGCTTCCTCAGTCTCCTGTGTTGCTCACTCATTGTTGTTCCACACAGTTGCATGGGCAGGGAGATGGGGTGGTTTCATTCAGGGAGTACAGGTGAGGCAATGGAAGGGAATGTCCTTGGTGGTTAAGGGAGGTTTTGACCTGGAGAGTACTTGCTTGAACAGTCCTGTGCTTAGGTAATATTGCCAGCTCTTTCAGCTTTACTTTTGCTGCATATGCCCTGTATTTTACCTCTGACATCAGTGCTTTCCGTTTCCTGTGATAAGGAGCACTGTTCTGCCCTGACTGAATGTGGTGTTAACACCAGAGCATCTCTCCCTGGGTCCTGTTTCGGTTCATTTACAAAAGCGCTAGCCCATTGAAAAGGAGAAGCTCTGATGAAGAAGGGGAAAGCATAGTGTGTGTGTGCACACAAAAACTCCTGTGCATGTTCTAATTTCTCCAGGGCAGCTTTACACTCCTGAGTACAGGTGTCCTATGAAAGATGTAATATATATATATATGTTGCTCTTGTAGGGCTCTGGAGTAAGTTCCTTTTCCAGTGGCACAGTGTATAATGTATTTTATTCTGAAATTGCATTAAAACAGAGTGTGATCAGAGTTCTACATCACTTGGGTTTCTCTGTTGATTCAGTATATGTAAGTCCAGACTCTTGGGCTCTTCTAACTTTTATTGGATAGGATTTGTCTTACAATATACCTCTTATCTTTGCTGTGTCTGTGCATCCTAAAGCTGAATGTATAGTGGGCATCACGTCTTACTATGTGTCCATTTACCTTTTCTCCTGAGATTTCTATTGGGCTTCCAGGTAATTGTTTTCTATGTGTCCACATGTGCCATGAGATGGACTTGGTGTCAGCAATTGAATGTTAAACTCGTATCTTCCTGCTAAAAATAGCAAAGAAATTGTTTTGCAAACAAATCATCTTCTATTCACTCTGTGTATAAGTATCCTGCATTGTTGTCTGTTGTCACAGAGCACCTATTAGTTACTGTCCATCTTGCAGGGGCTTTCACACAGTTGTTTATAGTTGGAAAAAGTGAGAGGAAGGTGATAAGGACCAGATTTTTAAAGGACTAAAAAGGGCTTTAAGCACCTATGTCCAAACTTGAAGTTCTCAAAGGTAATTCTCAGCTGTTACTTAAATGTGCAGGGAAGGCATCTGAAGCAGGTGAGCCCCTAATGTTTCCCTAGTAAAGCTCTGTGCTACTGTTCCTTTAATTTCCTGACTCATCTGTAAGTCAAAAATGGTACTGGATGCACAGATACCAGCAATCTGTAGATTTCAGCGGTTGCTGCCTCCCATTTGCCTGCTGCATAGGTATGTAGGTTTTTACATGTCAAGAGACTGTCCCAGTGGAAGACTGCCTTTAGTTTGTGAATTTGTTGGTATTTCTGGAGAAATAAAAGTTTTTATAGCTGATGGGCATGATGAGAAAAAGATGAGTTTCTGATTGTACTTTACTTTATGTGCCCACTTATTTTAGAGACACATTTTTAGCTTGCTTTTAGTATTTATTATAGGTGTATTTTCTGGAAATAAGTTGCTTTTACATAAACCTAGCTGAGCTAGCTGGGCTGCTCCTCTTGGAGCATGGAGTGTGTGGAATGCCTGAGGAATGCAGAGGAAGCACAGGTACTTAGTGCAGCTACAGGCCTGGGGCCAGATTCCTGCCAGAGATGTAGCCCACTGCTGGTAGCCCTGCTCTAAAGCTGTACCTTAAAGCAAAACCAAACTCCTCCAAATAAAACCAGCCGTGCTGGAGTTTTCTGTGCATTCCACTTCCTAGCTGATACGGGGATGACACTGGCAGCATGGCTAGAACATAGGGTGGACCTCCAAATTTAGACTTTTTCAACTGTGCTTTTGTGCTCTGTGTGGACATGGCTGAATGGTTTCATCTACCCTGTTCTTTACTGTGCCCAGCAGGTCTGCATGGGCACGCTCAAGCTGTTTGCAGTGTACCAAGTTCTATCTAGGGCACAGTTGAGCTGGAGGAGTACAAAAATCTCTACTAGAAGAATGAAGAATGATTTTTGCCAGGAGTGCGACTGGGCCCCAATGACTCCCTGCTCCTCCACAGGTTCTTTCAGTGTCCCCTGACAAGTGGTGGCCATAAATACATCCTGCATTTTTAAGTTGCAACATCAGTGGTTAAGGTGCCTTTGTGCATGTTCTTTGTGGTGCTTGTGTCACTGTACAGGTTGAACAAGTGTTGCCCTCAGGCAGCTCCTGTTTTGTAATTAATCCTGCTTTCAGCTGACAGACCCTTTCTTGCTGTTTTTCTGCAGGCAGCCAGTCCTAGAGGAAGTGAGAACAGTTCCTTTCCTCGAGAATCACCTGTCACATTGTTGAAGGACAGAACCAGCTTCCTGTAATGAGCTTCACTGGCAACCAACTGAGAGGGAGGTTATTGAGATTGCACAGCGTACACCTTGCACAGTGATTCAGGGATTATCTGATGGGATGTATCTGTTTTCATCTCTAAAGCTGGCTAAGACAAGGGCCTTGTTATTATAATTTAGGATCTCGGCAGCAACTCAGGATTGATACGGGAGATGGATATAGTCCCAATGTCTCTGATAGTTTACTCTAAATTGACATTGCCACCTTGAGAAGAAACCCTTGCTCTCTTGTCTTCTGTGTCAGAGTACACGGCCTTTGGAGACAGTATGTAGGGCTCAGCACAGGAGTCTGACCAAGGAACTGTCTTTTTTACATATTGCTTGCTGAACTAGCCTGCTGCTTGCTTTTTTAAAATTATGCCTTTGTGAACGAGTTGAGAGATATCTGTGTTCAAAGGATCTACACTAGGAGGGAAAACATACGCCATATGTACAGAACCTCACTGCCTGGAGCAGCCTTGTATGGAGCGAGATCTGTGTTTGGTCACCAGAGACTGGAGAGCAGTATTTCATCGACTTCTGATTGACTTGTGGCAGTTGAAAAACACTGGGCCATCAATGCTGACCTCTGAGGATTTGATCAGCAGCTTTATCTGCAGCAATTACTCCTATTCCTTCTACCTACATTTCTTGCTTAATTCTATTATTTAACATTTGTGAAATGAATAATCCATTTTTTCCACTGGAATAAAGAACTTTGTTTCTTCATTTGTAGAAGGAACCATGAGAATGTGAACAGATCAGAAGCAACTTTCTCTTTACGTGTAGTTGTGGACAATCTTTGGTCTTTTTCGCCTTTTTTATGTTCTTCACTTTTGAACAGTGACTGGTTATGTCTACGGAATTTTTGCTGGTCTTCAGTGAATACGAAGTGCTGCCTAGGCAAGAGAGATCAGGAAGCCCTCCACTAAATAAAAACCCAGCAGTTAGTTCTGCCAGTGAATTACAAAGCTAGTGCTGTTTGTTGTTCTTTCTCTCAAAAGTAACAGTGACCAGGAAACAGTGAAGTCTTCACCAGGGGTTGGCTTTTCAGTAACATCCCCTCATGTGACACAGCTGTTAGGACAACAGCAACAACTTTTCCAGAAACGCAGTTTACTTTGGAACTTGGCTGCTGCTGAGGCAGAAACACACAAAAAGCAGGCAGTGTATTTCCCATAGGCAGACTTCAAAAGTGCATTGTGTCTTAAAGCATTCAAAAATGCTTTAATAGGTACAAAAAAGGGAGAAGGTATGGCTTTTGTTTTGGAATTTAACCTTGAGAAACAAACAAGTGGAACATGGCCTGAAAGGTAAAGCAACTCCAGTAGACTAGAATTGTAAAGCCACCAATTGTTTCCATAGGACCAGAAGCTTTACGCTTCTGCTGAGACCTTGAATTGTGCCTCTTGGTGTGTGGTGGCAACTGAAAAGCCAAGGCCATTTCCTCGTGTGATGTAGTTGCCATGAGACCCACCAAGATCAGTGCCGCTGTGTCAGATGTTTGCAGAAAGGGTTGCCATGCACAAGTTCAGGTAACCCCTTTGGATTTAAATTGGGATCAGGATGTTTTGTAGGAGAAGATATTTCACAGTTTAAAATCTAGTCATATTCATGTGGAAATTACAATTTACTGCTCAGTAACTTCAGAGTGTCCACAGGCCTAACCCAAAGCAGGCAGAGTATGGGTATTGCTTTAACTCCCAGACTGCATAGGACATAAAGTGATTATAGACACTTGATAACCCCTGGCATATACATCTCCATGCTAGACAAAGAAATCACAGAAAACCTCTGACTTGTGCTTAGATTCATCCACCTCCTCTCAGAATTGATAAACACAGTTAATGGAAGAATGTCCTCTGGGTCAAAAAGGGGCAGTAATGGAAACCAGCCATAAAAACTCACCTAGTGGTTTTCCAGGGTAGGCAGCTTTTCTTTTTCCTCTGAAA